GGCCGCGGGGACACAAAACCCCGAAATCATCTCAAGATAACCTCAAGATATGTGTTCATGAACGTCTCTGGACACCTTCCTCTCAATAACGATGCATACGGCCTCTACCGCCAGACTCCGAGCTGAGGGTGGAGATGCAGGCGCCTACGGGGAAGCTGTCTGGAGGTCGCCAATACCACATGAGGTGTGAGGCCTCCGGGGTGAGGCCCCCACCTGTCCTCACCTGGTGGCTCCGAGGACAACACCTCACACACAACATCCACGTGGTGAGTTGCTTCCTCCCTCACCTGTAGTGCCTCCCCCCTCACCTGTAGTGCCTCCACCCTCTCACCTGTAGTGCCTCCCCCCTCACCTGTAGTGCCTCTCCCCTCACCTGTAGTGCCTTCCCCCTCACTTGTAGTGCCTCCCCCCTCACCTGTAATGCCTTCCCCTCACCTGTAGTGCCTCCCCCCTAACCTGTAATGCCTCCCCCCTCACCTGTAATGCCTCCCCCCTCACCTGTAATGCCTTCCCCCTCACCTGTAGTGCCTCCCCCTTCACCTGTAATGCCTTCCCCCTCACCTGTAGTGCCTCCCCCTCACCTGTAATGCCTTCCCCCTCACCTGTAGTGCCTCCCCCCTCACCTGTAGTGCCTCCCCCCTCACCTGTAGTGCCTCTCCCCTCACCTGTAATGCCTTCCCCTCACCTGTAATGCCTTCCCCCTCACCTGTAGTGCCTCCCCCTTCACCTGTAATGCCTCCCCCCTCACCTGTAATGCCTTCCCCCTCACCTGTAATGCCTTCCCCTCACCTGTAGTGCCTCCCCCTCACCTGTAATGCCTTCCCCCTCACCTGTAATGCCTCCCCCCTCACCTGTAATGCCTCCCCCTTCACCTGTAATGCCTTCCCCCTCACCTGTAATGCCTTCCCCTCACCTGTAGTGCCTCCCCCCTCACCTGTAATGCCTTCCCCTCACCTTTAGTGCCTCCCCTCTCACCTGTAATGCCTCCCCTAACCTGTAATGCCATCCCCCTCACCTGTAATGCTCACCCATCACTGTAATGCCTTCCCTTCACCTGTAATGCCTTCCCCCTCACCTGTAATGCCTTCCCCCTCACCTGTAATGCCTCCCCCCTCACATGTAGTACCTCCCCCTCACCTGTAGTACCTCCCCCTCACCTGTAATGCCTTCCCCCTCACCTGTAGTGCCTTCCCCCTCACCTGTAATGCCTCCCCCTCACCTGTAATGCCTTCCCCCTCACCTGTAATGCCTTCCCCATCACCTGTAATGCCTCCCCCTCACCTGTAATGCCATCCCCTCACTGTAATGCCTCCCCCTCACCTGTAATGCCTTCCCCCCTTCACCGTAATGCCTTCCCCTCACCTGTAATGCCTTCCCCTCACCTGTAATGCCTCCCCCCTCACCTGTAGTGCCTCCCCCCTCACCTGTAGTGCCTCCCCTCACCTGTAATGCCTTCCCCCTCACCTGTAATACCTTCCCCTCACCTGTAATGCCTTCCCCCTCACCTGTAATGCCTTCCCTTCACCTGTAGTGCCTGCCCCCTCACCTGTAGTGCCTCCCCCTCACCTGTAATGCCTTCCCCCTCACCTGTAGTGCCTCCCCCTTCACCTGTAATGCCTCCCCCCTCACCTGTAATGCCTTCGCCCTCACCTGTAATGCCTCCCCCTCACCTGTAATGCCTTCCCTCACCTGTAATGCGTCCCCCTCACCTGTAATGCCTTCCCCCTCACCTGTAATGCCTCCCCCCTCACCTGTTATGCCTTCCCCCTCACCTGTAATGCCTTCCCCGTCACCTGTAATGCCTTCCCCCTCACCTGTAATGCCTCCCCCTCACCTGTAGCACCTCCCCCCCTCACCTGTAATGCCTTCCCCTCACCTGTAATGCCTTCCCCCTCACCTGTAATGCCTCCCCCCTCACCTGTAGTTCCTCCCCCCTCACCAGTAATGCCTTCCCCTCACCTGTAGTGCCTCCCCCCTCACCTGTAGTGCCTCCCCCCTCACCTGTAATGCCGTCCCCCTCACCTGTAATGCCTCCCCCTCACCTGTAATGCCTTCCCCCTCACCTGTAATGCTTCCCCTCACCTGTAATGCCTCCCCCTCACCTGTATTGCCTTCCCCCTTACCTGTAATGCCTTCCCCTCACTGTAATGCCTTCCCCCTCACCTGTAGTGCCTCCCCCCTCACCTGTAGTGCCTCCCCCCTCACCTGTAATGCCTTCCCCCTCACCTGTAATGCCTCCCACCTCACCTGTAATGCCTTCCCCCTCACCTGTAATGCCTTCCCCTCACCTGTAGTGCCTTCCCCTCACCTGTAATGCCTTCCCCCTCACCTGTAGTGCCTCCCCCCTCACCTGTAGTGCCTCCCCCTTCACCTGTAATGCCTTCCCCCTCACCTGTAATGCCTCCCCTCTCACCTGTAATGCCTTCCCCCTCACCTGTAATGCCTTCCCCCTCACCTGTAGCGCCTCCCCCTCACCTGTAGTGCCTCCCCCGTCACCTGTAGTGCCTCTCCCCTCACCTGTAGTGCCTCTCCCCTCACCTGTAGTGCCTCCCCTTCACCTGTAGTGCCTCCCCCTCACCTGTAGTGCCTCCCCCGTCACCTGTAGTGCCTCTCCCCTCACCTGTAGTGCCTCTCCCCTCACCTGTAGTGCCTCTCCCCTCACCTGTAGTGCCTCCCCCGTCACCTGTAGTGCCTCTCCCCTCACCTGTAGTGCCTCCCCCCCTCACCTGTAGTGCCTCCCCACTCAAGTAGTTGCTGTATAGTATGATTTCTTCTGTAATAACGTGTTTGTAGCTCACGTCCTAAGGTACCACACATGTTGTGTTTCATCTAGATATCGACACCTTTTAATCCTTAGTTCCCTACCTATAGTACTTTTGCTGTACCTCACTGTATCACACTATTAGTACCTCATTGTTAGTACCTCACAGTACCTAGGGGCTCTAAAATCATTGATATATATCACTTTTTCAAGACGTACTTTGAAGTTGCCTAAACACGAAGATCAATTTCTTAAGCAGGAGGCTGGGGATTTATTTAAGATTTAGTACAGACACATCTGTGAGCCTGTCTTCAGAGACACAGCTGAAAGTTCCTATCCGGATAGGCTTCCACATATGAGGATAAGCTACCAGGTATCTAAGATCTGCTATCCATACCATAGGAGCAGTCATAGCATGTGACTGCTCCTTGTCCTCATATGACTGCTCCTTGTCCTCATGTGACTGCTCCTTGTCCTCATATGACTGCTCCTTGTCCTCATATGACTGCTCCTTGTCCTCGTATGACTGCTCCTTGTCCTCATGTGACTGCTTCTTGTCCTCATATGACTGCTCCTTGTCCTCATATGACTTCTCCTTGTCCTCATATGACTGCTCCTTGTCCTCATATGACTTCTCCTTGTCCTCATATGACTGCTCCTTGTCCTCATATGACTTCTCCTTGTCCTCATATGACTGCTCCTTGTCCTCATATGACTGCTCCTTGTCCTCATATGACTGCTACGTGTCCTCATATGACTGCTCCTTGTCCTCATATGACTTCTCCTTGTCCTCATATGACTGCTCCTTGTCCTCATATGACTTCTCCTTGTCCTCATATGACTGTTCCTTGTCCTCATATGACTGCTCCTTGTCCTCATATGACTTCTCCTTGTCCTCATATGATTTCTCCTTGTCCTCATATGACTTATCCTTGTCCTCATATGATTTCTCCTTGTCCTCATATGACTGCTCCTTGTCCTCATATGACTGCTCCTTGTCCTCATATGACTGCTCCTTGTCCTCATATGACTTCTCCTTGTCCTCATATGACTGCTCCTTGTCCTCATATGACTTCTCCTTGTCCTCATATGACTGCTCCTTGTCCTCATATGACTGCTCCTTGTCCTCATATGACTGCTACGTGTCCTCATATGACTGCTCCTTGTCCTCATATGACTTCTCCTTGTCCTCATATGACTTCTCCTTGTCCTCATATGACTGCTCCTTGTCCTCATATGACTTCTCCTTGTCCTCATATGACTGCTCCTTGTCCTCATATGGCTGCTCCTTGTCCTCATATGACTTCTCCTTGTCCTCATATGATTTCTCCTTGTCCTCATATGACTTCTCCTTGTCCTCATATGATTTCTCCTTGTCCTCATATGACTGCTCCTTGTCCCCATATGACTGCTCCTTGTCCTCATATGACTGCTCCTTGTCCTCATATGACTTCTCCTTGTCCTCATATGACTGCTCCTTGTCCTCGTGTGACTGCTCCTTGTCCTCGTGTGACTGCTCCTTGTCCTCATATGACTGCTCCTTGTTCTCGTGTTACAGTTTCTTGTCCTCATTTGACAGTTCCTTGTCTTCATAGCCCATTTATTTGTCCTTATATGACAGCCCATTGCTTTGATATGACAGGTACTTGTCCTCGTATGACTACAACTTGTCTTCATATGACAGCTACTTGTCCTCATTTAAGAGTACATTGTCTTCAAATGACAGTACGGTTTCTACATATGACAGCTCCTTGTTATATATTCATACCTGCCCAGTGCTTCCTTCTCATAATTGAAGTTGAAATATATCGCCTTGGGCTCCCTCTAAAAGTTACACAGATTCACATCAGTAGGTAAGCTCTTTAAATATACATCATATTTATCTGTCTTGTGTATGTAATACTTCTTTTAAGGCATATGTTTGTGATAATCCTTTTAGACATACTGCACATGTGGCTATCTTTTCAGATATGCTGCACTTGCGGTAATATTTTTAGTTATACTGCACCTGTGTTGATCTTTTAACACATGCAGCACCTTTGGTAATCTCTTGGGACATGCATTGGTGATGTTTCTTAAGACTTAATCCTCTATTTTCTTGCTTCTTAATAAAAAGTAGAAAATCTTTTCCACACAGTTTTACAAATGGTCTCTCCTGGGAGGAATGATTGTGATCAACATCCCATAAACCATTCTTTGTAAGTTCAGATGGTCGTGATTTTATCTCCTAGAGGTGGAAGCCAAGCGAGGAGACAGCTGTCGATTCTTCTTTCCTCACTGTTTTAACATTGTTAGGAATGTTTTCTCAGAATGTGTGGGGTCTCTCTCTCTCTCTCTCTCTCTCTCTCTCTCTCTCTCTCTCTCTCTCTCTCTCTCTCTCTCTCTCTCTCTCTCTCTCTCTCTCTCTCTTTCTCTCATTCACACACACACACCCGCAAACAAACATATTCTCTTGGGTATGCCACCCTGTGATCAGACGAAGCGGATACCTCTTCAAAAGATTCT